AGTATACTGAAAGTGGAAAATTCCAAATCGTACTCGTCAATTAAGCATCTTCTGGGACGAAAAAACAAAAAAGAGAAGGAAAAAAATACTAATGATTAGCAAGGATACAAGAGGGAAAAAGTACGCATAACTAAAATATAATAATACAAACGGTGTTTAACTAAATTAATAATAATATTACTAAAATTAGCACATAACTAGAAAAGACATGTAAAGCGGTTATGTCATAAATTTTATAATCGTTAGCTGGTTAACTTTTCACCTGTATGGCGACCAATGGCTTTATGTTTTGTATTTTTTCATTTATAACATTAAAATTATCAAAATTATTACATAATGATTTACTATTTCCAAACAATTATATATCAAGAATAGCATTACCATCCTTGTAACATAAGAAAAAAAGTCCATATGTGCTTGTTTTAGGTCAAATTTTCTAATATTATAAAATAAGGCTCTGTTTATTTTTTCACCATATTTATTTTAATTTTTAATAAGACTTTAGACTACATGCAAAAAGCATGGTTGGATAAAATGGCTTGAAGATGGCTTACCGTCCGAAACGTAGCTATGGAAATTAAAATAAATATGGCGAAAAAATAAACAGAGCGTTATTTTATAATGAATAAAAATTTATTCCTAATATTGCCCTAAATAATTTATTTATCTTATCGTTAGTAATTTTCAAAGGAAAAACACATTGCTTCAGCTGATGTAACAGTTTCAATATCTTGAAAAACCGAACATAGGAAATAAGCTTTACATTAGAAAATACGAAAAATATTTTTAAAACCACATCTTTTTACCAAATAGTCCGATTTCAATGATTTTTTTTTTTAAATTTTAGAAAATTTCGTAAACTTTCAAATGACCATAACAAAAGTGTGTATACTTTTTGAGTTATTCGGAAACTAATTTTACGACCCCTCGTAACTGTTTTTCCAGTTTTTTTTTTTTTCGCCAGCCCAAGACTCCCACTGAATTCCTATACTGCCTTCTTTTTGTTGAATTATGTTCTATAAATATATTTAAAGGGCATCGAGAAGAAGACTTTATCCAAGTTTCATTGCAATCGGTACAATCCTTTAGGCGCTACAGTGTATCGCAACACAGGTTTTTCAGCCGCCATCTTGAAATTATAAGGTGTATAGTAATGTCGATGAAGGTGGGTCATCCTCGAGGAACCTCTGACTTTAATTCTAAATTTGAAAAAAAATTGGTCCAGTAATCTCGAAGAAAATGCCCGGTATGAAATATCGATAGTCGGTATTTTCATCGATATTATAAAGATTTTTGAAATATGAATATCAATATAAATATTCTCTTGCAGATGGGCACTTCAAAAGGTATGTTATTTTTTTGAATATTTAATAGTTTACCGTTGCATTATAAAGGAAGGAGATGGTCCGGGGTGGCGGTCATTAATAGGCTAAATATTGGTAAAACTATTTTATTAAAAGCCAACGTTTCGACCCGACGGTGCAGGTTTTCTTCAGAAAGCTTTGTTAAGATAGGAGTTTCACTTAGAACTCAAACTCAACTAAGAACTCAGTTTAAGTAAACTCACTAAGTGAAACTCCTAGCTCAACACACCTCCCTGAAGAAGACCTGCAAAGTCGGGTCGAAACGTATGTCTTCCTTTATGTTATTTTTTTCTTTAAATTAATTAATGGAAATATCTATTCTTTTACGCTCCTAACTAAAATTAATTTTCTAGTTCCTGTCCATTTTCATCATCTTCAGCAGTTTTTCAGAAATTTCCATTCAACCAATTATGCCTTCACATTCACCCATAGATCGAATTCGGGATTTCCGAAAATGATAGATTTAATTTTTATTTTAAAACTAAAATATTAAAATATCGAAGGGACGATATCAATAGTAGATAATATCGAAGTAGTTACTATCGGTGATAAAATATCGATATTTCGATGGTTATCTCCTAATTCGAATTATTTCTTTACGATTATTTCGAGTTCCAAAAAGAAATTCCAAGCATTCTAAGGATGAACTGCCGTTTTACACAAGCCTTGCGAGATTCATAATCACAATATATTTTTCAAATTCACTACATAAAAACTATCAACTTATGCAACTCCGGTTACTATCAGCTAAACATATTACATGTCCCTGATAAAACGTGCGTGATGGATTTTGCCAGAAACACTTGCCGTCGCAAAATAATCAATGACCTTTGATAAAGATATGATTTTGTACTATTAACAGTTTTATTGTATTCAATCTCATTGGCATTTTCTCAATTTAAGTAATCATTGTTCATATTTTTTTTTTGTTTTACTTTGAGTATATGATTTTGTATAATTATTGAATTAGAATAATATTTTGTATACAAAATATAGTAATAATCACAGTTGCTATGCGTCAATTGAACCTTTGTAGAAAAAAATCTTGCTAAACTAATATACCATAAAACATATATGTGTCTTTATCTGACTATTTAATTAAAAGATTTTTTCTGATAGTTATAAAAAATGAAATATAACTTTATTTGAAAATTGGTCCGTCATAATAATAATTATGGTGTGTCAGTGTTTGTGTTTTTGCTTGTCATTTCGAGTATCTATTTATTTAACGATAATATATTTTATCGATAAAATGGTAGGGTACTGCACTTCCTAATGCTCAAGGTCTCAGGTTCGATTCCCGGCTCATGGCGGAAAAATAATTTATTCTGTTTCATTGACCTTGAGGCGACCCTGGGGTCAGGAGACCCTCCTGTGGCACATCCAGCCTCTATAAAGTGGTTATTAATTATTCATTTAATTAAGAAGAAAACCTTGTGCTTAATCGTGATTTCGGTCTAATCACCTTCTTGCACAACCTTTGACAAAGAAACAGTGCTTTCCCTAAATGGCACTGAACCCAAAACACTGCATGGATTATAATGGTACTTTATATATTTTTTTTTTATACATTTTCCTATAACAGAGCAATTATCATTCCCAAAGCTAATGATAACATGTTATTTAACAGCATGGATATCTCCTTGAGTACAATTACCCTATCGTTGAAGAAAGGCTGCTAATCAAAATACAAATTTCAGTGGACAATATTTGACCTTCCCACGTCCGCCATGTTCTCTATCAGCCTAAATAAATAATTAACGACCAAACTTTAGATAATCAACTTCGAGCAAATCACTCTCTTATTGTTATATAATTAAGTTTTAATAATTGTAATCATTGTTCAAAAATCAATTCCCAAATAAAAGTTTCACGTTCCAAAATCAAACATCATATGTGAAATTACATAGTATCATTTACAGATATAGAATATTAGTTATTAACGAGAAAGAACTACTGGTGGTGGAATTATATTAACTTGTGTTCGACCCATTGGTCGAAATTCAAACATTTTTCATTCATTTTTGAAAATTTACTAAAAAAAAATCTAGTGCGGTACACAACTTTCACTTACCACCCTCTTCTTATCAGAAATAAGTATTTTCAGACAAGGGAGAAGTGAAAGTAAAAATTATAAACGCTATATTGATTTATATTTCATTGTGGATATGTTTAAGTACCCTTATATATACAAATTTTAATATTTATGTCGCTGTATATTTTTGTTCGATTGAAATGGTGTATAATTGAAAATAATAAACCAAAAATAATTGGGCTTAGATTAGAGTTATAGTTTATCTTAAATGAATTGCACATCATTCTAATTTGTCATGTGTTTGATTATTTGTGAATAAAAGCCATTTGTTATATCGACTTTTCAGCGAAATCGACAGAACTTTTAAATGAAAGTTTATTAAAAATAAAAGATCTGTAAAACCTTTAAAGGAAAAAGTTCTAGTTTCAAAAGAACTGAAAAACTATCGAATATAAATATTCCGATGATACTAAAAGTTTTTAAAAATAAAAGTTTTTTTTCCCAATTGAAGCCTTGATCTTAATGTTCTATATTTTGCGAATTTAGACTAGTGTTGCACAAATGCGAGAACGAGGCGAGTCTTGCAACTCAGTCTTGGTCAAGGTCTTGGTATTGCGCAACAGTCTTGCAATTACTTATTAGCTTATTACCATAGAGATATTACTGCATTTTTTTAGATAGGAAAAACCTAACTAAGCCCGAATGAAAAATTTGAGCAGTTAAATGCAAAAGTATATTGGTTATACCAATTATTAACATACAGTAATTAAGATTGCCAATTATTAGTAACCATTTTGCCTTAATTTTTATTTAAAAAATCGATTTTTTTTACCAGTCCTGGTGTTGGTCTTGCAGCAGTAAGGCAGCCTTGGTGTTGGTCTTGCAAAGTGCAAAACCAAGACCGATTTTGGGCAACAGTAATTTAGACCAACTCAGATACCTATCCTTCCATAATATACTTCGGGACCATCCAAATCCACTGGTTTCTAACCTTGCATCCTCTTCGATTTTTGACAACCCTCTTAGGCGTCTGAAAAGCTGATGGTATCGAGACCTTCTAATATAGAACTACCCACTCATTCCAAGTCTGTTCATATAATATACCAAATCACATTTACATGTTGTATTTCAGTTAACAGTTGTAAATTTCATTAAATAAATACAATTAATTTCTCTTATTATTTCATCATAATGTTTTTTATCAATCTAGAAAATTTTTTGGAACAAATTATACTCGGTCAATTTGAATTCGAGATATAATGCAATACATTTATAATTGTTCAAATATTTTTATCTAATATAAAAATAAAATCTAACAAATAGATCATTTTTTAAAAGAACAACAAGATTTTCCTAGGTACAGCCAAGGTATCGTCGACTAGCAAATAGTTTGAAGATTATTATCGAACTAATGCTATTTCAAGAACTTTATATTACCAAGTATTACATAAGATATTTACTTTATCATTTAAGAGTGAAAAAAAATAAAAAAATAAATAAATAACAGCTCGTTAGGATTGGTAGGTCCAGCTATTTCATTAACTGGTGTTGACATGAACCACTTCAATGGGTTTCGTCAACATTTTTCTTCTTTTTTTTTTTTACCACATGTCCCTTATTTTAGGGAAGCACAAACATAGATAATGGAGGAACGAAGATGATTGCGATTCAGAGAAATCGTGGATGGGCAAGGGCCTCTGCACATGGTCTGTAATCCAGAGCTGGGTCCTGTCAAACATATTTGACAAATGACTAAATGGCAACTTGGCAAGCTCATTAGTCAAACTGTACATATCCAAGCACAAGCGACCGTTTGCTTTTGACGTTTTTCTGCTACTTGAACGGACAAAAAAAAAAAAAAATTAAAGTACAAAAATTATCTGACAAAACCATAAAAATACCAGAGAGGAAAAAATAATTGAAGTACATTTCGAGGCCGCTTGATTGATTGGAACTCACAACACTTATGAAGTTTCTGATAAAAAGATAAACATAAAAGTGGCCTAGATTTATAAACTTAATAATAACTGAATTCCCTTTGCTTCGTGGAAAGTATAATTTCTTTTGTTTTTGTATTTAATTATTGCCTATTCTTTTAAACCTACACTAAAAGGCCCTTGATGACATTTATATTATATATTACGTAAAATGTATTATTATTTTTTTCGATTGGCATTTAGAAATTTTATTCAATATACGCAATGATTTTAATGAATAAAAAATTTAAATTTCTAATAATTATTAAAGTTTCTAAAATAAGTTCAATATTTAGGGTCATATTAAGTAGCTATGAATAACTGTAAGTTGAATAAGAATAGGAATAATGTAAGTGGTAACAATAAATCATGAAAGTGGGTTTTACACACAAATGGAAAACTTGAAAAAAAAAAAACAGAATTCAGAAACAACATACCTAAGGACAAAATAGGCTTAGGCATGCGTACTAACGCTTTTCAACGGTCTCTATAACAAGTTATGTGGGTAAGGTTATGTGTAATTTTTTATCGTTCGTTTTATACTGAAGAAAAATATTACAACATAGAAAAACAACAACTGCCGAGGCAATGTATTTTGTCCTCTAAATTGTTAAGTTCAACGAAACGAGCAAAGTCCTGAGTTCGAATCCGGCTATGGCATATATTTATTTGAAACTGCTAAATCCACGATCCTGTGTTCGGAAAAACCAACCTGGGACATACTTAGCCTCTAAAAGCTGGTGCTTTAATAATAATAATTAATTAAAGAGAAAACCTGTCAGTAGCATTTGATCTTGCACCTTCATACCTTCCACAAACGTTGACCAGAAACAATACTTCCTTATGAAGTATTGGTTCCAAGACCATCCATGGATTGTGGTGGTACAGCAATTTTTTTTTATGTACATTTATTTTTTTTACTTTCACTTATCCATATATGAACTATATAGTAAGTGAAAGTATTGCGATCGTGAAAATTTGCGAATCTGAATTTTCAACGGAAATAAATGTTTTGAGGTCCCCTAAATCCAAATAACCAAGTCACGTAAAATAGTCTGTGTGCCTAGGGCGGAAAAGTTCTGAGATGAAAATGTTTTAAGACTAATTGGTTGTTGACGTTTTTTTTTTTTTGTTTTTTTTTTTGCATAAATTGATGCCTTAGTGCTATCAAAAGAAAATGTTTCGAACAGTTTGATGTTTCTATGAAGGAAAATTTAAAATTGTCTAAAACACTAGTCACTAAGATTAAATTTTATTTAACACTTAAACAAATGATAACAACCGGATTGATGACCTTTAGTTTTGTTGAGAGTTGGAGAAAAGAAGGGAGAGGGAAAGATTATGAATTTTAGAATTTGTTTTTTGTCTAGAGCACTAGAAAAACTAGAAACTTCCTTCCTATTCAACTATAAATTAAATTTTTGGGGGCGAGGTGGCCGAATGGGCTAACGCGTGTGCACAGCACTGCGAGTTGCCCGACAACCAGATAAGCGAAGTCATGCGATATTAAAAAAAGTATGAGTTCGCCTCCCAGAGCCGGAGGGGATTTTAAATTCCCCGCTCTCACCCCCCGGCCCAGGAAAAACACGTATAGCCTATGGCTAAATAACCTAGCCTAAGGCGAGGTAGGGAAGAAAAAAATAATAATAAACAATAAATGAAATGAAATCTTCTTTGAAGTAAGCAAAATATGTCATAAAAAATCAATTAATAAGGAAATAATTTGGAAAAATGACTCCAACATTTCATATCTACACGACTGTCCAATTAAGCTTTCCGAAATGATCAGTTTGTGATAATCAACAATATTCAATCAAATGCTGAGATATAATTTGGTTGTAGATTGAATTATAGCTGAAGTTATTTTAGAGGATAGTTTATATAACACGAAAAAAAAAATACTGATAGCACATTATCATTCAAATGAAAGCAAAAGATCATCGAATCAGATCTGGATTTATCGTGTAACTAGGCGCACAATACGTACTCTTTGTAAGATAAACTCAACTCTAATTGGCTGCATTTTTTTTTAACAACATTTTCTAGCACTATTTGTTGTTATTAATTAACTAAATCTTGTTATGATGACATCACACCCAAATTTGTAAAAGAATGGGAAGCTGAGTTAAGAAACAGTAAAACTCGCTGAAATCAAACCAATAATATGCAAACGGAAGACGAGTTAGAGAAAGTCTTAGTGGGAAGAAATTATTTTATGCTGCCTTATTAACATAAGAAATTATTAAATTTCCCGACTAGCTTCATCTCATCGTAACCTACCACTTTTTTTTACGAAAATTCTCGGAATTGGCGCGTTTTTAATCTAGAGGTCGGCAAACTTTGTCTATTTAATTAGGTACTAATAAGGCATGAACACCCATTTGCTTTCCAATCGAATCGTAATCCCTGAAGAAGACCTGCAAAGCCGGGTCGAAACGTTGGATTTTAATAAAAATAGTTTTACCACTATTTGGAATAAGAGGGTTTTAAATGTGGATAAGGATGGTGAATGGCGAATTTTTAATGGTATGGTAATCCAGAACGCAGTGTAACGGATAATAAAGGAAAATTTAAATGATGCAGATTTGTGTAAAGGAGTGTAAAGGTCAGAAGGACTTGATTTTACGGTATTTTAACAATATAAACTACAAAAACTAAAAAAAAAATCCTAATAGAAAGGGGGGGCGCGTTCATCCACAGAATAATTTGGATATTTGGAGGCTGCATTTTATATGATTTAAGAATTTTAAATTCACTTTTGGGGAGTTTTTATATATAATTGCATTTTCATACCTGCTTGAATGATGTTTTTGTTCAAAATCTAATTTTATACATTATTTATTTATAAAAAAAATTGTATATTTTGTTCCCTGTCTTACCAATCACATTTTCTGAAATTACTATCCATATTTTTCTCCCCTTTTCTCGCATTTTTCTTTGTAATTTATAGAAAATCTCATTGTTTATATTTAAAAAAATAGAGATTTTAATTATTTTTATTATGATGCCCGCTTGTTTCGATGCATTCTACCTCTATCCATTAATGAAGCTTATACCACTAATAAATATAGTTATTACCATTTAAATATGTACCATGGATCAAGTCAGGAAAACAGCATACTGATGGGAATATTAAAGGATATTTTTTTTTAAATAATTGTAATTATATTTTATATGATCATTATACAAACATTTTTATGTTGCGGTTTAAATAAAATACACAGTCAATAATTCAATTCAACCAAGGATATGTTTTTTACCTAGTAGAACTTTATTAATAAATTATTTTAATAATAATCAATTTTCAATTAAATTATTACTTTATTACAATCGTGTTGGATATGATCATGTTGATATCATTAATCGCATAATGAAACACTTGTCAGTATTGTAGTCATCAAGTCCACTGGTGCTCTCAAGTCCATCTCCTTTTATTCCATCGCTCACCACGGATGACTCAAAATCAATCTGCTTAATTCCTCGGAGGAAACGTCTTCTGGTAGCTTCGCCCTCGAACATCCTGCACTATCAAGAGCCAGGTCGCCGATTGGTTGGACCCTGCGGTTCCACATTGCACGGTTCTTGAGGCCTCCTTCGGTAGCGTGGACAATACTTCAGCGATACGTATTGCAAGGCTACTCCCACCAGCATTTCCAAGGAAAACGTCAAGATGTACATGCCTGCAAATAGCAACATTATCATTAACATTTTTTTAAACAATGTTTTTAATTTACATAAACATTTGGAATAATAAAGAAAATTATCATCTTTATGATAATCATATGGATCTTTTTGATGTTATATTAAATTTTATATACATATTTATAATAAATTTATACAGCTATGAGGCTACGTAGCAGGACTATCGGGTACAACAAAATACCTCCATACAAACAACACAGTCCATATTTCTTTCAAAAATTGTTAGCTCGAAAAGGTTCATTATAAAACACATCCTGCACAAAGTTTCGAATACTTCTACAGCAGCATCATGCATTCAATATAAATAATTAAATTTCAACTACATTCAGCCCAATTTAATAGTTCCATTATTTTCCTCGTAGAGGATATTCCCCCCTTTCTTACTTTCCTACCTAGGTAAGGATAGTATTGCAATCTGATCTATACGTTTCAGAGTCCGAAAAATTTATTTTTACCCATTGGTCTGTCTGTCTGTGCCAAGATTTTCTCGGGAACTACAGAACCGATTTTGTTGCTTCTTTTTTTATTTTGTAGGGTTTTGACTACTGATGTCTGTGACAGAAATTCGGTGCTCCATGCGCAATAGCTTGCGCGCAATAAGTGAAAAACATGTTTTTCTATAGTCTGTAACGATTTTGATGAAACTTTTCTATAACGTTTTAATCATTATCCTACCGATTTTTGTTTATAGACTAAATTCCCGAAAAAATTCTGGAAAAAAAGTTATAAAGAAAAGAAAAATGTTATAGGGCCTAACTTCCTAAGTATATATTACTCGGTAAAATTTATAATAAAACTTTTGAAAGGTAATTAAATTACCAACAAAACAAAAAAAAAATCATCAGAATCGAACCAGTATTAGCGATGATACAGCTTATTCTATTTTTTACACATTTTTAACTTATTACTTTCCTACCTATACTAGGTAAGAAATGTATTGCAATCGGGTCAAATTTCCGATACGCGGCTTTTAACGAATCTATACGTTTCAGAGCCCCCTGAGTCCGAAAAATACATTTTAGCTATAAAAATCGTTCATTTTGGACAACTATTAACGAAGTTACAGCTATTTAATTTCGAATGTAAGATTACGGGTTCATATCCTGGTGTCAGAAAGGGGTGAATGAGAGATTCAAGATGACTAAGTGAAAGTAAGAAAATCTGTTGCCCGCATCACACAATCTTCACTATTTCATCTACTTTTAACAGAAATTATTTTTTGACAATACTAAGCTATGGGAAAAAGTTTTTGATCAGCAATATTAGTGAGTATTGAAATGTTTACACTGATCTACCTTAAATCGGTTTACATTGCTTTAGTTTATCAAATAAATCGTACTCAAATCTTTTGTTTGATCAATTTTCAGGAAAATAAATCTAGTACAATTCTTTTCTGTTTCTTCATGAACATATGTAAAGATATAAAAATATTTCTGAAATAGGTAAGAAAGTCGTGTGAGTGGACACACCAGATATTTTTAAACGCAAGTAGAAAAGAAAATGGCCTTCATTTTACGAATGATACAAAGGCAGATATGGAATCATTGTCAAGCAAGTCAAAGAAAACAAAACAAATTTTACAAGTGCGTTGTAACGCAGGGGCAAATATAGTAAATAAACGCATAGAGAATAAAAACATATATTTTAAAGTTAATACATTTTTTAAAATACACAAATGGACATGATTATTAATCCTCTGCCTATACAGAGCGTCTCAGTTCTTAATCACCAAACTCAAGGAGGCACTTGTAGGAAAAATTGTCAACAAAAAAGTTCATTTGATGGATGGGCCGATTCCGAACGGAAGAGAAGTTAATACCAATTTTGTGTTTTTCTTAAGGTGGTCACGGTTTTTGTTGAATAAGAAGGAATGACTTGAAATTTTCAAGATAACTAAATTCTAAGTATACCATCGTAAAGTAGACACAATTTTTTTGAAAAAAAACACTGATTAAATTTACTCAGATCAATGATAAAAGGAACATTCAGAAGTTCTAACAAGCAGCTGTACAGAGATATGCTGCTCGTATAAGGTCACTGTAACTACAGCGGCCGTGTTAGGCTTCCTAAAAGTCCCTTTTTTCATTAACCTTAGTAAATTTAATCACAGTTTTCTCAAAAATATTTTGTCTACTTTACGATGGTGTACTTAAAATTTAATAATCTTAAACATTTTTTGAGCAATTCCTTCTTATTCAATAAAAACCGTGACTACCTTGAGAAAACAAAGCAAAATTGGTCTGTACTTTTCGGTTCAGAATAGGCCCCTCAAATGAACTTTTTTGTTGAAGAACTAAGACACTCTGTATATATATATATATATATATATATATATATATATATATATAATATATATATATATATATTTTTTTTTTTTTTTTTTTTTCTTTGAGTAGGTTTGAAGGTAATAACAATAAGAACACAACTACACTTACGTTCAACCGATATATAAATAATTCCTTGTTTATTTATTTACCTCTGTTTGATCCTTTTAATTATTATAATGTTAAAGTAACTGTCAAGAGATTTCTTCATTACCTGTCTTAATTTCAGTGTTTTACAGAGATGGTAGACCATTTCTCTTACAGCTATATTTTTAATATTTCCCCTTAACCTAAACTAGATTTAAAATTATACCAGTAAGTTAATCTAAACGCTTTATATTGTTAGTTTGCGCATCAATTATCGCAAGTTGCGCCATTAAAAATGTTTGAGGGGGAGGGGTATATTTTGACGTTTTTTTTTTATTTTTGAGGTGGCAAATTTCGACGGAGTTGTGAATTTTCGGACTAAGCGAAAAGGGGAAAAACATGGAACATACCGCAGCAAGTGTAATTGTATATGATCTACGATTTTTCTAATTCTATCTTAGCTTGCTCTGTTTTTAAGAAAACGTGAGCAATAAAATATTTTTGGAGAAGGGGGGCGTTAGGTTCTTGCGCCATCGGTCTTGGGGAGGATGGGCACCCCTGCTTGCAGAGAAATTAGAGGTTTATCAGAAATATGTTAGAATAAGACCGTGGTGTTTGGGCGAGTAGGATTGTCCGCTTTAACATTCTCAAGAGTTTTGCAAACTCTATTTAATTAGTTACTAAAAACTTATAAATACCAATTAGCTTTCAACTTGAATCGTAAGAAATTCGAATAAAAAATAATGGGAAAAAGTGGCCTACGAAAATATTGGGCCATTTGGCCTACATTACCGTGTTATTTTGTCATGGAGGCGGAGGCCACGCTAAACGGTCCAATATTTTTGTAAGCCGATTTGGTCTTCAAATTATCTTACATTCAAGTGGAAAGAAAATGAGTTTTTAAGAGATTTTAGTACCTAATTAAATAGAGAAAGTTTGTCGATCTTCAGATTGAAAACGCTCCAATTTTTGGAATTTTTATAAATACAAAAGTTCTAGATTACGATGGGATGAAGCTATTCACGAAGTTTGAAACAGATGTTAATAATTTGATAAAAAGAGGCCTGTACCACGGACTATAACGCTTTGAGAAAACAGATATTTTAATGCATAATATGATTTTTTATCGAAAATTATTTTTTAAGCTTTATTTTTTTCCCTAAAAACAAAAAAATCCTTTATTACCAGAAGAATAAATGAAAGGTAGTTGCCTCTAAAAAAAATTATAATTAATAAAAAGAACTTTCAATACTAATAATAATATAAAGGGATTAATAATAGTAGTCAGGATTGGGAATGAACTCAATAAATTGAAACACACCATTGAGGAGTGGAAGCAACGATGGTCGACGACCCCAAAAGGCGACGTTAAGGAAGTTCTTTCCGACCGTGCACTCAAGATTAATAGGCGAAATGTTGCTACCGGACTACTGAGTTTCGCAAGTCCTCAAGGGACATGGAGGCTTTAGGGCCAAACTGCACAGTTTTGGCAAGAATGTCGACATGAACTGGCCGGACATGTAGTAATGACCTGCTCTGTATTTGAGGGGCTAAGAAACACTCTAAGGAGGAAAAGAGGAATATATATTATCACTGAAAATGATTTCCTCTCCTCATGAAAGAAGAAAACTACCGGTATTTCGAAGAGTTCGTGTACACGTGGAAGACTATATTGATACCGGAATACTTCAACCTTAGAGCCTCTAGGAGAAGGTGGGAGGCTGCAGAATGTACAGGACACCTGAAGGTATGAACTTCAAGAACTACAATACTAAGGTACCTTCATCTTTTATGAATTATGCTACTCCCGCCAAAATCTGTATTGCTGTGAGGCATTGTAGGGTGTAAATAAATAAAAAAAATATTAAATTATAATAGTACTATATAGCTCAATTATATAACGTAACAGTTTATGTAATACAAATAGTGTCTAATAAGAAAAAGGGAGCCGTGCTCACTTAAACCGCGAGCAGGTGACACATTCTCGAAGTGATAAGATAGCGGTGAAAGTCAGGTCGCCGACATTTTGTTTTGAAATAAGCACACACACACACTGACATGGAGTACGCCACGATAAGCGAAGGAAAAGAATGGAACAAAGGCTGGTAGCGAAAGTGGAACTGTCTTCCCCCGGTTAGTCAAGTGGTGTATAATGTAGTGTACTCCAACTGGGAGATAGCGAGCTAATTACCTTATAGCTCTTTGTTCCCTCAGATATATGGATATACGATATATATCTATGTATTATTATGGTGACGTTGGGTGCATTGCCCCACGCAAACATTAAGCGTATGTAGTATTGCCCAAATGCGAGACCAAGACCAGCCTTGGTCTTGCACCATAGTCTCGCAACAGTTTTGCAGTAACCTATTAGCTTATTACTGTAATTTTTTAGATAGGAGAAACCTAATTAAACCCGAATGAAAACTTAGAAAACTTAAAAGCAAAATAAATATTGC